CCTTGGATTAAAAACTTCATCTTTTTCTTATATTCACTGAAAATGAAGGTTTGGTTTTCTTAGTTAGACAGCAGTTAGTTTTGGCATTTGGATCAATACTTTCAAATTCGACTATTGATCATTAGAGACTAAAACATAATCCTTTTAACATTTTTACATAATCAGGACATGTAACCATGTAGTATTATTTCCTTGGCTGAGTTATGAATAACATTATCAACAATAGAATATGTTTTTAACTTTGGAAATATTTTATATTAGTGCTGCTGTTTTTAATTGGATCACTTAAAAAAAGGCAAACAATCACATTATAGGAAATAAACAATTCCAGCAAAATTTAAATTGGTCTTAGGGCCAAAGCAAGCTAAAAAATCGGAAAAAAAACTGATTAAATTCATTGGATATTTCCTGTAATTAGATTGGTCAGTTTTGTTTAACTGATCCTAGTAACAATAGCCAGAAAGTGGTCACTCAGTGTAACCAACTGAAACCAACTGTGATTCTCCAAGGTTTATAACTTTGTTATAATGTCATTGATTTTTGTTCATTTCAGGTGGAGGTGAAGAGAGCAGAGAAGCGTGATTCCAAGGCAATGGGAGCTATGCAGGGTATGGGTGGCTATCAACAGCAACATGGGGGTCATCCTGGATATGGCGCAGCCGCATATGCACAAACAGGTATCAGTTTACACGAGTCAACTCTGATGATGACTCCACTTAGGTTGTCAAAATGCCAGTCACTACTATTTACAACAATTCTCTAGAATAATCTCACCTGAACAGTCAGAATGCACCATCAAATTAATATTTTTAAATAACTGTGACTGTATAAAAATCTAATATGTGAACTACAGGTAGAGACATGAATAGGAAAGCAATCTTCGCAGTAATGATTACTACTTGAGGAGTAGTGAAAATAAGGCCTGAAAAAAAGTTCAGGCCTGTACAGGATTTGAACCCATGACCTCTGTGACACTGGTGTAGTGCTCTACCAACTGAGCTAACAAGCCAATTGGGAGCTGGTCACTAGTTGGTTCCAAATGAACCCATGAAATAATGAATAAATAACCATGAATATATGAAAATCATATTTTTTTTTTCACAGAAGTTCAAGTAGTGGCAAAGATCGCTTTCATACTCACGTCTTTATCTGCAGTTCACATATATAATTTTCATATATTCACAATTATTTATTCATCACTGGTAGAGCACTTCACCGGTATTGCAAAGGTCATGGGTTCAAATCCCATACAGGCCTGAATTTTTTTAAGGCTTTATTTGCACTGTTGCTCAAGTTCATTACTGGAGAAAGTGAAGATTGCTTTCATATTCATCTTAATATTTTTGTTGTTCTAACTAACTGGTCTAACTATTAGTATATACAGGCATAATGATAAAAGCAAGTCTCTCCAAGATGAAAGAATTTTCAAACCAGATTAGCAGAGTAACAGATTCATGTCTCAAATATGGAAGCGATCCTCGCAGTTACAACACAACTTAAGTGGTAGTGAAAATGAGGCGTGGAAAAATTCAGGATTGTATGGGATTTGAACCCATGACCTCTGCAGTACCAGTGCAGTGCTCTACCAACTGAGCTAACAAGCCAACTGGGAGCTGGTCATTATGTTGGTTCCAAATAAACCTTAGAAGTGGTGAATAAATTACTGTAGATATATGAAAATCATATATGAAAATCGCATATGATTATGTTACCAACATAATGACCAGCTCCCAGTTGGCTTGGTAGCTCAGTTGGTAGAGTGTTGCACGGGTATTGCAGAGGTCATTGGTTCAAATCCTGTAGAAGCCTGAATTTCTTTCAGGCCTTATTTTCATTGCTAAGTAGTGTTCATAACTGCAAGGTTCACTTCCATATTCATTTTCTCAACCACAGTTTACACATATGATTGTCATATATTTACAGTCAGATACACATCTTTCTTGTTTCTTGCTGTTGTTGTTGATTTTTTTCTTTACTTCAATTTTTAATGAAACACATTTCATTTCTCAATTTTACTGTATTGTAAGGCACATTAAGTATAGGCAAGATAAATTTGCGGTCAGTAGGTTTAGTATGGCCTCGCAGCTACAGCTTTGATAAGTTCATATTTTTAAGTTGTGAAAATTTTGTTAAAATACATGAAGTTACAAGTGTTTGTTTTGGGTTTGGTTTTTTGCAGGTCCATATGGCATGCAACATCCAATAGGGATGGGGCGTGGTTTTCCTTCTTATGGTGCCATGGGTCCTGGTGCAGGAGCTGCTACCTCTGGTTTTGCTGGGGCACCAGGCCCATCTCCTGCATATGGATATGGTAAGTTCCAGCCAGTCATCAGTCATCCTTAAAACTTCAATCTTAGTCAGTTGTCTCTGTTCCAAACCATCCTTGTTACTTTTTGGTTGACTCTATTTACTGATGTGTATCCACTCCAGCAAACGATTATTTTAACGCTACAATAAGGTTTGATAGCTCAACATCTTGATAATACGTGAGTTCAAGGCTGCAAGGAAAAAAAATTGTATGGCTGACATTATAGCTCATTGTGAGCCCGTCAGCGGTTGCTCAAGTTCAGCTGGTATAACAGACTGCAAAATTAGAGACTGAGGTTTGAATCCCTTCTTGAACTTTCTCTCTGTGTCCCATGCCTGCGAGAAATGTGTCACAACTTTCCTTGCAATTCTAGTACTCCCAGGGAAATACAGAAGTTTCAGTTAGTGGAATAGGGTCAGTCATAGTAATAGTGTATTCTTCAAAGCGATTTGGTATCTTATGGAATTGTTTTGGTTTGCGATAGGTACAACAGCACCTGGTGTACCAACAGCATATGATCCTAATGCTGCGGCAGCTGCTATTTATGGTCGAGGTTCTGCTGCAGGTAGAGATTATATCACCTTGCTGTTTTGAATATCTAACAGAATAGACAGTGACTCGACAAGTTTCATCGGTATCATAGGCTGGAATGATCTGGTGTAAAACAGGGGTGGAGGGGTAGGGATGTAGCCTACGTTCTTTTCCCCTTTTTTGTGTTAGTTGTAAATGAGTTTGACTCGCTACAGCTTTTCCGTCGTTTGTTTTGTTGTCTCCAGGTTATGGAACTGGATATGGTGGTGCAGCCGGTGTTGCCACCCAACAAGCATCAGCATCAGGAGCAGGGGCACCAGGAGGGTACCCTGACTATAGCAGGATGCAAGTATCCCAAGCTGGGCAGCCTGGGGCAGCAGCTGGAGCCCCTCATGTTGACAGTTCAGTAGCACCAGACTACTCTGCGTATGGTAGGTGACTAACCTTGTAGCTAAGGAGTAGTAGGAAGGGTCGATGGATACTATGGTGGGTGACCTCAATCTCGGTCATTAAAAAAGTTTTGATGTATGCAGAAACAACCTGTCTCCCACCATTAAATCCTGATGCCCTGGTGGTGGACTTTCCCCAGTAGAAAGGAGTTGTAAGCTCGAGTGGAGATAATTGCTAACTCCCTGTGCCACCGTATGTCCCTCAAAAATTACTGCAAAATTGTTCAAAATTTCATCAACGGCTTGATGTTATATAGTCACCTCAGGTTATTCATTGTTTGTGCAGAGGTTAATGCTGTAGTTACTTCCATTTTGTGGAGGAATACCAAGTTGTCCATAGCAGAGCGATAACATTTGATTAATAATTCATCCTCATTTTTAAACTCGTGTAGAGATAATTTATGTACACTTCCCTAAACTCACAGCTGTTGTTTTATATTTAGGCCTTGGTAACTACCAGCAACAGCAAGATTTACAGTACGGCCCAACACGGACTTCATACTCCACTGAAAGCAACTTTGCAGCCTATGGCTCTGCTGAGCCCACTGGTTACACCGGGGCTGCAGCCCCGGCATACGGGGAAACGTTTGGAAGGGGGACTGCTCCATCACGTGGATTTCATCCGTACGGCCGATAAAACAGTAGAACGCACGTGACGGTGAAAGTGCGGATCTTGTATCAGAAATCTTCGTTACCTCGTTGCCACTATTCTGGAAAATCTACGTTTTTCTTTTCATGGCACGCATTATGTTCAGAGAAAACGGAAGGACAATAGTTTGTAGCTCCATTACCACTGTAAATTGCGAAAGATGTTTTTTCTTCGTTTTGCTTTTTCAGATACATCGACGCCATAAGCCCAGCTTCTCTTCGGTGAAGCTGGAAATAGAAGTTAGAAGTGCAGTTGGTTGGCTGTACTTTTATTTACTTTAATAGTGTAATTGGCAGATTGTAGCCTTGGAAATAAATCTTATTACCTGCGCAGACTCGTTTTAGAATAAAATGTATTTTAACTGCTTAGTGCAATCACGTTTTGTCTTGCCATTCTTCTGTTCCACTGCTACGGCACTGTTTATTTTCACACTTTGTATTTACTAACTGAACGCCTGGAGCAAGCAAGACTCACTGGGTTGTGTGGTCGTTTATCATAGTTACAGTGGATTAATATGGAATCAACTTTGAACTGAACCATCACTTCCTTTTACCTCGATACAGGAAATTATCGTTTCTTGAAATCAGTGCTAATCATTCGGCAAATTCATATCATTGTAAGTCGCGAAATTTAACATGCTAATCTTACTCTTTACTTGTCTTGAGCAACTAATTCGCGTTAATTTCTATTACTGGAACGTAAGTTCTCCTTCAGGTTTCGTTCACTTCAATCATCCCAACCAACAAGAGCGTTCATTTTTAATGGTGGAATCGGCTTTCTACATGCCTTTTGAATGTCGATTAAAAATAATTTTATCCTTTAGAACAAGAATGCCTCAATAGTTATTCAGACCGGTTGGATTTCGTTTTCAATTTTATTTGGTTTGTTTGAAGCTCTGATATAGTCATTTCCTAGTAGTATAGATAAGTGAATAAACTTCAAAAGAGCTTTTGACACAAACTCACAAAGCTACATCTCTAAACTACACCTTTCAGTGAACTATGGTAAAAATTTAGGATTCGTTAAAAGTAATCTGGATTGTACCTATACAAATCAATTTTTTTGAAGCTCTGATATAGTCATTTCCTAGTAGTATAGATAAGTGAATAAACTTCAAAAGAGCTTTTGACACAAACTCACAAAGCTACATCTCTAAACTACACCTTTCAGTGAACTATGGTAAAAATTTAGGATTCGTTAAAAGTAATCTGGATTGTACCTATACAAATCAATTTTAAAAAAATTTAACCAGGCCCCTTCTATTTCAAAATTCAAACAAATAGGTGGCAACTGGTTACGAGTTTGCCGTCGAGTTACCATACATCTAAACCCTCCATTCATATCTGCAATACTGAGACCTCGTGCCAGGCTCTGCCGGTATTCCACGTCTATGTAAAAGGAAGAATATAAAAAGAAAAGTAATCTATACCGTGCAGAATGAAAGATCGTTATGAGGAAAATCTATTCACGCTTCATTTCATCACTCAGAGTCGGTATCTCGTGCAGTATCAAGCTCGTTTGCTTTGCGCACAACCCAAGTCGAGTGAATCATGCCGAAGCTAACGGTTACCTCAGACTCGTGATCTAGGTGCTGACTTTTTAACTCACTTCCAAACAATTATTGCGTGACCTATTTGTTGACAGTAATATGGACAGTTAAGAGGAAAACGAAAACGCTTGTGTAGGCGAAAATATTTTGCTTTGCTTAGCTCGAGACGAAAACACGCATAGGTGTGGTTGGGGCCTGAATGAATGTCTCCCGATTCCAAAGAAGCAAAAAAAAAAAGAAAAAATAGCTGAGATGAAAATAGGAAATATTTTAAGAGCATGCCTCTTAAGTAATGTTATCAGTACCTGACGTAACGACACCTGTGCTCCCAGAGTCGCATTTTAGCGTCATTTAAGTCAGTTGTATCCTTACTACTCCACAGTCTCTCTCCTACTGCCAGAGCGCGGGGCCTGGGATGTGCAGCACGAAAACCATCAAAGTCACACCGATCAATGCATGATAAAGGTTTATACTAAAATTATTTCCAAGTAATAATACTAATGGTGACAATAACAAAAAAAGCTTAAAACAAAATAAAAAAGAGCTTTAAAGTCCAAAAACCATTTGAGCTTCCATTCTGATTCAAAACCAGGGGAATGCAAATGTTCAGACCATAAAAACATTTTTTGCCGTCTGAATTGAGAGTGATCTAATCAAAATGTATAAGTTAACGCTAAAAACGCCGACACTTTATGGAAACAAAAACAAATGAGATCAATGTCAGAGTTTGAAAAAGTGCGCACCTACCCCTCCCCTAAACCAACAACAGTAAACCAATAACAACTTAGGGTTGATGTTGGGTTAAGGGAGGGGTTGGCGCGTAGTTGCTCAGATACTAACATTGATCCAACATATGTCTGTAAATACTTTGTTGGTGGTTAATTTAGCAAGTCAGACGATAAACCTCACCATGTTCTTGGGAGAATATTGGTTCCATCAACGTACTCTCCCCACATACACCCAGTACCACCTATCACTAACTCTTTTTGTTCTTCAGTACCTGGAAAAATAATATCCAGTCAAAAATACGATTATTAAATTTAAATATGTCATAATTTGACCCCCCAAAAGTATCCTTAAATGCGAGAAAACGGTTTAAAAGAAAGGAGAATAAACAAGAACAACACGCCCGTTAAGTTTAAACATCTTTCTTACCAGTGAAGTCTGTTGGTTCACAGGTGTAGTACTACAAAAACAATCCACAGAAAATAGTTTAAAATTAATACAATAAAACACGAACAAACAAACAAGCAAAACAGAGGAAACAGAATAAAGAAACACTGGTGACGGAGAATGTTTCCTGCAACGGTCCATATCGCCGATATGAATCATTTCCACAGCTAGTTTCCTCAAAAGTTGTTGCTGCCTGCTAACGCACCCGCCAATATAACAAAGTAGTTTCTCTCGAAAATATCTTATCGATTTTTAACTTGCTAATTATATTATAACACATGTGTCTGATAACATAGACGATAAATAAACAAGTTTTCAATTACGAAAACAGTCAAATGCGCTCCAATCCAACGTCAAATACAGATCATAAGTGCCAAGTGCCCTTGACACTTCCTTTTTCACGCCTGCAGGAAAAATATGCATGTATGCATGGAACTGCTGTAGAAAGTACTTAAACGTTTTAAGTTTTTTGCCGCCTTCTCTCGTGCCAGGGGAAAAAGAGGAAGAGGACCCGTAGAAAATCGTCTTAGCGGTCTAACGAGTATGCATGTGCAAACGCTGAGGGCGTAAAAAGTAACTCAAGCTGGAATACTGCTGCACAAACGGCGTTTTGAAAACTTAAAAAATTTTTAGTAAAGCTAAAAACCAATCACAGTAACCGCAACTGAATTACTATTTATTTAAAGGGACTGGAAACTCTACTCAAATTTACCGCAGCGTTTGAGCGTGGCGTTTTCCCTAAACTAACTTCAACGTAAAATTGGCACGCAGTCAACGAAAACTGATCTATTTGCGCATGCCCGACAGTTGACTGCTGTGTTACCCGGAAAGGAAAAATTGGTATCTTGCTCCTAAATACCTTATCCCAGTCAATTCTATATTGTATTCTGTTCAGGTACCAACAAGCCGACAGAATTGTTCTCAATCCCTTGCTTGTGACTTTTTCCATTTCCTTTTTCCAGCCCGCTTTCCAAACATTCACCACAGTATCGGGAAGTACTTTGATGTCGTTATCCACAACTTCTTGCCACACAATATAACTTTTACCAAGTCCCTCCACAATTGACAGCAGGCTAAAAATTGGAGGAAAGATCACCTCAGTTTCAGGTGGTTAAGTACAGGGTCTTTCAACGCCAAAATATGAAAATGTACTGCCTACTTTTTGGTTGCGGTGGCGCCAATTTTCGCGGGCTGCAAGTCATGTCTGCGTTCTGACTGGTCGATACACGAGCCTTATTACAGCGTTTTGATTGGCCATTCACATCTACTAGTATGATTTAGTATAACTTAACACGATTGAAGCTCTGATCTTCAGCAGTCACTGACATGGATAAGTAAGCTTTCTTCAGTTTTTTTTCAAGCAAGCGAGGATTTTTTTTATTTTTTATTCATGGACTGTTGCGTAAAGCTATTAAAGTTAAGTCATCGTCTAAAAAAGGAGAGAAAAAAGGAAAACTCGCCCAAGATTTGTTCTTACTGTTGCTCATAATACTGCTCAAGCAAAGAATAGTTTTGCCCATATCCCATTTTCTTCATCCACGTTGTAATGTTCGGATTACTTGCCCTGGTGAGCAAATGACAATAGACATCAGTATAAAAAACAGTTAAACAATTAAGAAATGTAAAATGGTTTCCGTGTTTACAGAGCCTGATGTAAACACGCGGGAGATTGGGAGAACACGAAATAAGCGTAGGAAACCACGACGCGAAGCGGAGTGGTTTCCAGCTTATCGTTCTCCCAACCTCCCAACCTTGCTGCTATAACTATAGAGTACGAATATCCACTGGAAAGATATAAAAAAATCGTCACGAGGAAAAAACGATGAGTGTGATTGTGCGTATAGTTTGCTGGCTCTAGGCATAAGGAATGCCTTGTAAATGAGGAACTGAGGTCACCCTGATTTTAAACGAACACGTCATTTTCAGGAAGCCTCATAATATAGATATACAAGGTGACCAAGCAGGGAAACCTTCTAAGAGATAGTTAGATCGACCAGTCGGATCATTGAGTCCCACACGGTATTCACCATTTGACATTCCAAAGAACTATTTATAAAAATAAGGGAAACTCAGATAAGCTGATTAGTTGTTTGGTTTCATCAACAAGTGACGTTAGTCAAGTCCCGCTCATCAGTAGTAAAGAGCCGAAGTTGCAACATCATGATGTCATACCAACAGGTGTCCCTAACTTCATCTCCTCCCAAGTGAAGATAATGATCAGGAAATTTTTCAGCAACCTCTGAAAAGAATTTCTTCAAGAAAGTGTAGGTGGAGTCCAGAGTTGGGTTTATTGGTCCAAATGTTCTGCAAATTGGAGAACATATAAAATCAACCTTCAGACCCTAACAGTAGTATGAATATACTCCATACTGTTCTCCATACATTTCTTAAGGTGCTGACAAGGAGAGTTTGTTAAACAATCAAAAATTTTCTTTAGTTGGTGATCATTTCTTTTATTCCCATAACCTTAATGTGTGATTCACAGGTGATATTGTGAGGAGAAATTAGATGCTAGTCACACTGAAGAATCAAAGGGTTACCTTTAACTAACAGAGATAGAGTCTGAGAGTCCATTTTGGAGAGCTTCCCTTCTCATATACTGGTGATCATTGACAAACATGTGTAGATCTAGACTTCAGCTCATCATACCAAAACTTAGAATTTAAGGGCAGTGTTGAAAAGTAGTATGAGAAGAAGGTTAAAGAGGGGTGGGGTGGGTAGAGGGCTGGATGGCAGCAGGGCCTTGAATAATTCATCTCAATCGTCTACTTTAAACTTCTCAAGCTTTGGCTGCATGTGTTCATAGCTTCTCGCTTGCTGCTTTAAAGTGCATGCAAAACAACCAGAAAAGTAGGCCAGGTCTAATAAAATGGCAACACACAGAATAAGCCATGCTAATGAATCACTGCAGCAATTAACAAAAACAAAAGAGTAATACATTTTCTTACCCTGATGGTTTTCCTTCAGAATAACAAGGTGTTAAGAGGTTTTCTATGCTTCCCCAGGATCTTGTGTGACCCTACATGAACAATAAAAACCTCACAACTGACTCTGATCTTATCAAGAATAAATGATGGCAACAATTGCATGTACTTAATTGACCTCTCCCCTGACGGGGCTTTTCAGGGCCAAACAAACAAACTGGAATCACTGTATGATAAACATAGTGTTTAAAAAACCCAACTGGCAGGAGGAAGACCAATTGGCTATATAGAAAGTGCAGCAAAGGAGTTGATTTAGGGGAAACTGAGAACAAATCCAGTGAGGAGCAGAGTGGAGGGCTTGACAACTGAAAAATAAACATTTCTGGTTTTGTGGCAGACTTAAATATTCGACTGTTTTGTGCATTGACTGGCCACTAAAAAATTTGTATTTAACCCATCAAAGCATAGGAGGCATAAAACAATTCCATTTGAGTACTCACTGGTGTATCAAATTCTGGAACAACTCTGATTCCACGCATCCTTCCATATTCCACAATATCATTTACATCGTCTTTTGTGAAGACATGAGTTTTATTGTTGTATGCACCCTTAAAAAATGAAGCACAACATGCAATCAAGAAATGCAAGGCTGGAAAGAGAATTTCTTCACAAGCCCATAATAAAAGTATAGAGAGCCAGTAAGCTCCTATATAAACTATGGTGCTGCATCGGTGCTGCATCAGCAGGATGAGGTATAACAAGATAAATTTGGCTATAGTAATGGCTACTGAAAAGAGTTTCTAAAGCTTTAAAAACTCTTCACAGTGGCCAATTTACATGATCAACTCAGTTGATAAAACCAAATTCATAAAAGAAAGCAATTTAAATACATAAATAATTAAGCAAAAAATTTTTGATACCTGCCCACTTAGCTGTGGAAAAGTTTCACTGACAAAAGGAAAGGATTGATCATCCACAACATGCCAATGAAGAACATTAAACTTGCTGTATGACAATGCATCCTAAAATTTAAAAGACCTTCAGATGACTATAATGACAGATAAATTGCACAAATTCATGTACACATCATTGGACAGGTGAATGAGACCAGTGTCTTTAAAGGCTGTACTGTATATAGGTCCCTAGTCTATCTGTTACATGAAGTGATTTTAATTTCCTCCTCTAAGGTCAACTGACACCAATCATATTTAAACCCCAGAGTGGAAATTGCATCCTAAGAGCTACATGCTATGCTTAGGAAAGAGTGCAACACATTTACCACTACCACTTGGTCTGGCCTTGAAATCTTGTTTCTTATTCTGCAACTATTTGGACTACAAAACATTGGGCCACTCAATCTCAGTGTATGCCAACTTCTCTCTAAGACTGTTATTTCCACAGGGAAAAATTTTACCTCTTTCATTTGATTACGAGTGGTTGAATTATTTTGAACATTTTGCATTGTTGAATGACATGAGTGTTCCTCAGTGACTTAAAAGCTCATGGGGAATGAATGGGATTAAGCAGTCTCCCACCCCAACCCCCCAAAAATAAATAGAAAGTAGTTAAATAAATTAATAAATTATCATGGGGTTGGGTATGGGTAGGTTATCCATAAACAAACATTCTCAGATTTAAGACATCTACAGAATGGTCCAATGTTCCTGGCTTCATGCAAAACAAATTTCTTTAAACATCAGAAGAGAGTACACATTGAATTCATATGTTTAAGATTTCTTTCAGTAACAATTATGATAAAATTCTCACAATAAACTTGAGGATGATCGATGGATGTAAGTAGTGCCTTGAGGTGTCAATCATGAACCCTCTGTGCTGAAATCTTGGATGATCAACTATTTTGGAGCCATTGGCCAAATACTATGAAAAAAGAAGGAAAAATGAATTTAATATGTTTTGACATTTTATTTTAAAATAGTATATAGATTTGTTTACCTTCGATGTTTTCTTCACATTTGTTAAGTTTAAACTGGCAAGAAATGTAACTTATTTTGACATTCAGCCAATATTCAAAAATAGAAGTGAGTTAAATAGATGAAAATCAAGAGATTAAATAAAAATAAATGACCGCAAAGGTAATTGCTCACCAATCCCATTTGATCTTGATAAACAACTTGACTGAATGTTTCAAGACCTGTTTAAGAAAATGAAAAAAGAAATGACAAAAAATAAAAAAACAAAAGTAAATTTTCAGCTGTAATTCATTCAAAAGGCTAATAAAAATTTCATATCTGATTAAATTTCATTATTGTTCTGTCAGCTGATCTTAATTAGTATACTAAGTGAAATATTGCTCAGTTAGCTTAATTCTTGTAAATTCTCCACTCTAGCTGTGAGAAATTTTCTTCTAAAGTAGTAAGGAGAAGTTGGTGTGAGATCACAATACCTTCTACATGATAAGTTTGAGTATTCTCATTACCTTTTCATTGGATAAAGTATGGATATTCCAGGGAGAAGTTACATATTAATCACTTCTGGAAGTTAAAGGGTTAATTTTTGATATATGAACTTTTACTCATCTACATTTGTTTCAAGAATTCCAGGACAATTAACTTGGTATTAACTATCTAAAATAATTCTCTGTTTCCTAACTGGTGATATACATTCAATAGTTAACGACCGTTCACTGAAGTGGAAGTGGCTAGTGGTAGATATTTAGTAGGCCTTGTAACAGCGAGGTGAATATCCACCACTGGCCACCAGCTGCACTGAGGTGAGTTGTTGTTTCAGTATAAACTAAAACAGTAAGATAATATAGCACAAAAAATTATTTTAACTCATTTATTCCTACAACTACTACAATATTTTCAAGTGCAAATCCTGCATGCATCATATAACAAGCTAAATTTGCACATATTTTTTTAATTGGTTTACACTTAAGATCTAATCAGTGGAGGACAGACACAGATGATGTCACCATCACCAATTTTTGATTTTTTATCATTTAAAACTATTAGATTCCATGTTGCTGTGGTCTGTACAGTAATAGATCACAGAAGACATCAAATGGTGAAAACATCAGTGACACACTCCACTGTGCCTCATGTTTCCACTTTAATTGTTCTTACTACGTTTTGACATATCTGTGATATATTACTGAACACATGCACAGACTCATGGAATCTTTTTGTTACTTACAAATAAAAAATATGTATACCTCGTAATGCACCCCACACTGTGTTAGCAGTCAAAGAAGTAGTAGGTGCATCAACAACCAGGATATCTTAATTGGAAAATAAACACTTAATCAACACTCCTCTCAAACCAGATACTGTATCTTCCCTTTCCCCCTCCCTCCCTCCCTCCCTCAGGGGCTCTGCCTCATTAAGGCCATCTGTTGATTCATCTATCTGGGTCTGAAATCAAGTAAGGTTTGTACATCCTTTGGAGCCATTATCTGCTGGAATTAGGTGTGCTTCATGAGAACACAAAAATTTCATTATAATTCAGATCTTACTAATAAATTAGGATACAGCAAAGTCACCTGTTCTGGTCTAAAATACAATAGTGGTTTTAAGAGTCATTCTACAAATTCCCCTATTTTTCTTGGGTAACCACCTCCCTTCCCGGTTCAACCCCGCCCCCTCCTTACTTCGAATTATGTAATGTTCCAATTATTTATGTGCCTTCTTAGTTACACATCTGCAGCTCGAGGGCCAAGACATCATCGAAGACGAAAAATAAAAAAAAAAAAAGGATAGCTTTAAAGAGATAATTTTGAAATGAAAGACAGATCTATCGATGATCTTACACTTACAGGACTCATCAGACTCTAGTGAGAGCGGAGCGTATTTGTCCAACACCTTTACGGTCAGTTTAATAATTTGCGACAACCCGTCTTTAGGTTTTTCAACTGCATCTGGAAAAACCAAAACCTTGTAGCGCATTAACGCTTGTTTCAGTACATCACTGGTTTCACCCGCTGAATCGAAAGAAAAATTATTCGATGTAAGCGTGTAGACCTTGCCGGTTGCTTTGTAAGATTGAGGCTTTGGCCAGATCGATCCCGTCACATAACTGATCACTGCTTCCTCTTTTTCGGCATCTTCTTCTACTTCTTCCCACGGTTCAGAAAGACTGCCAGAACAACTCATCAAAGCAAGAGCCACGAAAAACAGCTTCAGAAGAAACATCTTTCAGACGATAGATTTGCGTGAGAGCGTTGGATAATGCGGCCGCGCTACTGTTGTTACTGTTGTTGTCAGACATAAAGGACAAGTCACAAGACAGTCGGGTGATTTCGATCATGTGACAACAGTCACATTTTTTTTTCGGTGGAGCGCAATACTGTAGCGACGCAAGAATCGGCACCCGTCGACTCTTGCGCTGCTACATGATCGCGCTCCCTCGAAAAATAACAACGCTTGATTACAGGTTGACGAATCATTTAAACGTAACATGTACGAAAACACAGACGGTAGGCGATACACGGTAGACGATCGATTTTGTGACGCAACATTATCTCAAAGTTCAAAATGATCACGCAATCGCGTAAACGTCAACAAGAGAAGTAAAATGTCAATAATTTCAACAGTGTCTTCTGTTATAGTTGCAAAGTATTGTCGTAAAAATGCAATGTGCTGTGAAGTACCGATGCCAAAATTGTAAACTAAGTTTGTACACTGATCAACTGATAGGCTAGAGACAGTGCAGGTGTCACAGCAGATTTGGACCCCCCGCAGATTCGTTCGTAAAGCCTATGATAACTTAAAATGCATCTATTCTGAACTATTGGAACTCTCAGCTTATTTTCAAATGCAAATCAACATTAATGTCTACGTCTTAACAAAAGTGGAGACTATTAAATAGAACTCAATCTTATTTTCTAATGTTAACGATTATTAACTGTTGAGGGATCCGAAATAACACCTTAACAATTACGAAAACGCTTGAAGTCTGGTGGTCTGCAAGTCAATGCAGAGCCACTCGCCCTCCGGGGCAGTCCTAAATCCCACGCAGCTTAAGTGCAAGCACATTCAGTTGCACAACTCGCACAGTACCGTGTCGTCCCAACACTCGGGCATTGAACAATAACCAAATAAATTAATGTCACAAACGACCTTTCTCCAAACCTAAAACAAAATGCTTGCGTATTTTCTCTTGGTCAAAAGAAACATCCGACGGGTCATTTCTTGCCGTGTTTTAATACATGATATTGCAGCGCAGGCGCTTGTTAAAGGAAATACCGTTACAGGAAATGAAAATAAATGACATCGCACTGAATGATCTTTACGTCGTCTTTACGTCCGTCGCAAAAAAAAATGATCTTTGAAGTATTGGCAGAGCAAAGGTAAAAATATCAGCTCCTTTACCTTACACACAACCTTAACCCAAAAAAGACTAGAACTAAAGAACTAAATGCTGGAAAATAATGACATTAATAAACAAGAGAATATATTCTCTTGTAATAAATAGTGATAACTCTAAATCTTTGAATTAAAATCTTCGTCATTTTCATACTCAAGTCAAATTTAAATCCCCAACTTGTATTGAGCCTCTTTCCACCGCACAATTAATAATTCTACATAATGAGGACATTTCTGGAGGTCGCGACTGTTGCAGAAAAACTGTGAAATCTGTTTAATTATTTCCATAAAACCCTGAACTCAACAAAGTGCAAAAATTTTGAGATGCCTGCATCTTACCAGAAAAAGTGCATCTAAAAATATACACAACTTGATCACTAAAGGTTTTTGCCGTCTGTTATTGTATAAACAATAGCCTTCATTTGGCGCGAAAATATGCACGGATATTTGTCCACGGTCACTATCTGTTCCGAGATGCGAACAGTTTTCAGAGAGCAAACCTCGGGGAAAACTGTGAGCTTCGTTGTAATCACTTGAAGTAGTCAACAAAACATCAGAATATCTCTTGTCAAAATAAGTAGTTTACTGAACAACCTTATTTGCATAAAAAAAATTGCTCCCTGAATTTAAAAAGGCCAACTGCATTCATTATGGTGCTACGTATTTCATGTCACCCGTACGACTAGGGCTTTCGATATAAGCATTTATGTTCGTGTATCTCAACTAAAATTTGTCAAAAATACCTCGAAAGTATTTATGCGGGCAACTTCACAAACAGCTCTATAAACTTCGATTATGAAATGTTAAGTTCTTTGCTCAAAAAATGACATTGTGTCTGATACTAGGACGAGTAGCTTAAGTCACTTATAATTCCTAAAGTCAGTCCTCATGCCTATTTCTCACTTGTTGAATGAATCCGGGTGTTAATTATAACATAAAACGTCAACCTGAGGTAGTGCTTGTTTCACGATAGATTTCACCCCGTCTTCTTCCCCCAGTGGATTGCCTCGTAGCTTCTGCGTCATTAGATTAGGAATGAATCTCAAACTGTCCAACAAACCACGCAAGTCCCTCTCATCCAAATTTAAAAGTCTAAGATCAACAAACCACAAGCTGGGAAAGAAACGAAGACACTCAGTAAGTGAAGCGAGACAACCTCTGCGACTGAAAAAAGAGAATTCAAAACCTTCTAAAGCTGAAAATGTTTTATTAAATCCACTAAATAGAGCCTCTATTTCCTCCACTTGTACGGTGCTCCACTTCCTCCCACTTAACGAGAGACATTTCAGGAAGTAACCGACCAACTGCCGCGGCTGTTGCTGGAGTCAATCTCATGTTCCACAGATCCAATTGCACAAGAGTCTTGTGTGTGATGCGAGAAACCAGTTTGTTTTCTGCTTCAGCACAGCAGAAGTTATCCAATTCAAGGCTAAATATGATGAGGCCATTGTTAAATCGCGGTAACAAACCATCGAGCTTCAATGTTTCAGACGATTTCAGACGGAACGTAATTTCCAGCTTCAGACGACACGTGAGAGGATTTGGTATTTGTTCCAGACATTCAAAAGCACTCTCATTTAACACCCTCATTCCAATCCTTTCAAAATTCTTACAGTCTCTAATTATTGTACTAAAACAGCGCACTATCTGCTCGTTAACGTGTACACTAATGTTTAGAGATCTAAGAAATTTCAGAGATGACGGCTCGAAACACAAACTTGTGGAGTGAGATAGAGTAAAATTCTCAGTGAATAGTCTGGCATGGTCATCACACATCAGTGACAATTCAGTGAAAACAGCGACTGGCCACAGTGGAAATGAAGGATGCAACAAAAGTACAATTGTCACTTCAGGACTGCTCCGAATTTAATCAAATAGTTAACAGCTTCAACATCTGCTGCAATGTCTACGCAATAGAGAAACCCAGGCAACTTGACCAGCTTTGCCACTATCCAACTTCACCTATCATCACTCTATGCTACATCACATCGCATGACACCACACCACACCACGAACGTCAAATTCAGTTAAAATTTTCCGTGCCTCGGGGGAAATGGCAATAAGTAGCTTCGTGTATGTGTAAATTGAGATGACCCAATCGGTACAATCTAAATAATGTCTAAAAATGTCAATTTTGGATTCAACTTCAGTAAACAAGAGGAACACAAACAAAAAGAAGCCCCTTTGCATGGCAGTGACGTCATATAGTATCTTGTCTCTCGTGATAAGTTTATCAGGCATTGGCTTAAAATCAGAATTCAGTATTGGGTCAGAGATTCTGACTGATGTCAAGTGTTCAAAAACCTTCACCGCTCCATCATTAGACAAACCGCAAATAAACCTAAAGACATTCTCAAAGGACATACACTCGTACAAGGTTCGGGCGCGGTCTTTAATTCCACCGAGATTTCCTTGAGTGACACATTGGTTGGTGATATACCATGCCGCTAAGAACTCTTGAATGCTCTTGTGAATAAACGATACCATCCCTGCTGGTCGAAGATTTTCTGAGTACTCACTGACTTGAAATAAGCCTATAATCCGATTTTCTTCACAAAGGATGGCAGCAGACAGTTGATCATATTCGAATACATGATCGTCCTTTAGCAGACATTCTAAAGCCACCTTTCCGATTTCAGCCAGAACGTCTTTAAAATCTTCAATTTTGCGAAAGTTAGTCGAACATTTTCCTTCATTATGATCCAAAACGTACTGTACGATCGCAACGTATAATTTTGTCTTCGAGGTAGAAAAACTCCTTAAATTTTCATTTTTCCACAAAGTGCAAAAGAACAGGAGAAGTAGCGGAACTCTCGCCAAATTGATCATCTTTTTCCTCGCAAGATAACCCCGTAACGCTATTGCTTGTGTTTTGTCACCAAGCATTCTTATCATAAAGGAGTCTCTGTCCTCTTTACTGAACCCAGTGATCTCAGCATACACGTCCTTAAATTCTTTCAGCTCATCCGCTTTGGAAATTCGAGTTGTTATCAACACACAACAGTTTCTCAGCTTGTTTCCTTTGAATATCTCAAAGATATCAGAGTTCCTTCCGAAACGATATTCGTCGTATCCATCAAAAACGAGGAGAACTTTGTCTTGGTTGTGGGTGATGTAACTTAGCAGACCGTCCTTCATGGCTGTGTCCTCATCGGCAAAAATACGGGAGGCGCTTATGATATCTCTAAAGCATTTATGTTTAGATACTTTCTTGAGATCAATAATAACAGCAAGCTCGAACTTCTTCAGGATAGCTCTCTGTTCATCTGTCAACCTGTTTTCGTCGAGTTCAGCCCAGTCAATAGCCAGCTTCTTCACAAACGTGCTCTTCCCAATTCCAGTCTGCCCTTGCACAAGTATCCTGTTTGATGGCAATCCGTTCTTGTTCTCCGTGAGCACATCAGTGTAGTGATTCAGCTCAGGCCGTGATTTTCCAACTGGGGTTTGTTCCTCTTTCACCAAAGACAGTCGAGTGTAGATCTCGTGAATATTCAGGGCATTGTTTTTGGACCATACAGAGGTTGGCACCTTGGCGGTTCTCTTGTAATGCTCTGCAAGTTTTTTCCGACAAATTTTAACATCAAAACTGTTCCCAGGAAGGAGGTCGGCTTCTGGAAAAAAACGAGTCGATAAACATAATTAGTGATACACAGAATACCAAAGATGGTAAAGTTTGAGCGTGCTTACAAAAGGAAGTTGCTTCCTTTTTTTTGTTTTCTCACTTTTTTTTTTGGAATGAGGACTAAAGATTTTTTCTTTGTGCCCCGCTTGCAGCAAAACGAGGAAACATCTCTCTTTATTTTATTAGCGAGTTCAAAATTTACCATCTCTCTTTTTCTATTCAAGCACATAACGCTTTCGACATTAATGATCCTGGCAGTTAACAAATATACTTAGACATATTGTCGCCCAAAAAAATTCCCTGGAGATCTTTCTTCATACGGTAAGTTATTTCGACAGAAGTTTCAGTAGGCTTTACTTAT